CTCTAATTTCTCTCCTTCTTCTTTCTCTCTTCTTCTTACTCTTCTCTCATCTCTTTCTCTCCATATCAACTTCTCTCCTCTCATCTCATTTCTCATGTCTCTCTCTCTCTCCTCTCATCATTTCTCTCTCTCTCCTCTCTTCCTCGTTCTCTTCTCTCTCTCTCTCCTCTCTCTCTCTCTCTCTCTCTCTCTCTCTCTCCATTCTCTCTCATTCTCTCTCTCTCTCTTCTTCTCCTTCTCTCTCTCTCTCTCTCTCTCTCATTCTTCTCTTCATTCTCTCTCTCTCTTTCTCATTCTCTCTCTCTCTTTCTCATTTTCTCTCTCTCTTTCTCATTCTCTCTCTCTCTTTCTCTCTCTTCTCTCTTTCTCTCTCTCCTCTCTCTCTCTCTCTCTCTCTCTCCTCTCTCTCTCTCTCTCTTCTCTCTCTCTCTCTCTCTCTCTCTCTCTCTCTCTCTCTCTCTCTCTCTCTCTCTCTCTCTTCTCTTCTCTTTCTCTCTCTCTCTCTCTCTTTCTCTTTCTCTTCTCTCTCTCTCTTTCTCTTCTCTCTTTCTCTCTTCTCTCTCTCTCTCTTTCTCTTCTCTCTCTCTCTCTCTCTCTCTTCTCATTCTCTCTCTCTTTCTCTTCTCTTTCTCATTCTCTCTCTCTCTCTCTCTCTCTCTCTCTCTCTCTCTCTCTCTCTCTCTCTCTCTCTCTCTCTCCTCTCCTCTCTCTCTCTCTCCTCTCTCTCTCCCCTCTCTCTCCCTCTCTCTCCCTCTCTCTCTCTCGCTCTCTCTCTCTCTCTTTCTCTCTTTCCCTCTTCCCTTTCTCTCTCTTCTCGTCCTTTTCCCCCCCCCTCTCTCTCTCTCTCTCTCTCTCTCTCTCTCTCTCTCTCTCTCTCTCTCTCTCTCTCTCTCTCTCTCTCTCTCTCTCTCTCTCTTCTCTCTCTCTCTCTCTCTCTCTCTCTCTCTCTCCTTTTTTCTCTCTCTCTCTTCTCTCTTCTCTCTTTCTCTTCTCTCTCTTTCTTTCTCCTCTCTCTCTCTCTCTCCTCTCTCTTTCTCTCTCTCTCTTCTCTCTCTCTCTCTCTCTCTCTCTCTCTCTCTCTCTCTCTCTCTCTCTCTCTCTCTCTCTCTCTCTCTCTCTCTCTCTCTCTCTCTCTCTCTTCTCTCTCTCTCTCTCTCTCTCTCTTCTCTTTCTCTTTCTCTCTCTCTCTCTCTCTCTCTCTCTCTCTTCTCTCTCTCTCTCTCTCTCTCTCTCTCTCTCTCTCTCTCCTCTCTCTCTCTCTCTCTCTCCCGCCCTCCCCCCTCCCTCTCCTCCCTCCCTCTCCCTCTCCCTCCCCCCCCCCCCCCCCCCCCCTTCCCTTCCCTTCCCTTCCCTTTCCTTCCCTTTTTTCTCAGCACTTTGAGTTATGTAGTGATAGCATCAGTTATGAATTGATAAATAAAAGCAATGGCCAAGTTCTGCTATATGTTATATCCATGTTCTTTTCAGTGGTGTTTCATTTGCGGAAAACTTGGAGAATTCACTTGCTGTAATGGTATTGTCTACTGCAGCAAAACATGCCAGGTGAGATTACATAATAGATTATGGGATGATGCTTTCCCTGTAATTTTTTATGGCTTGACATACCTGTTGATTTGTGTTTTTTGTAGTCTTCCTTCTCTGCTCTGTTGTCATTTAGGCTCTTCTCACTTGCTTCTCTTTTTTTGAGTAGAGAGTAGTAAATGGTGGTATAGAGTTACTTCTTCTCTCTCTCATTTGAAATACTAATTTGGCCTACAAAGTGAATTTGTGGCTTAATGAGTGCACCTCCCCTTCCCCTTTACAAATGAGCAGTTGTTTTTTCAATCATCAAACAATAGTTGAATATTTTTTTGCTCATTACCAGTTTGTGTGTGTGTCACATATGAATGAGCACAGTAACCTTGCGTATTAACATAAAATGTTTTATTACATAACTGAAAACTGTGTACCAGTGCAGGCAACTGTATGCACCTGAGACAATATGCAGTATTCACACATTTGCTCCTAGTGACATGTATGTCATGTCATATTAAGAATGGCTATCACATAGGACACACAATGATATCTCACTCCTACCATGCATGCTTTGCACCTTCATAGCCACATACCTTTGCAGGAATTTTGGCCATAAACTACTTGAGGCCAGGTATGTGCCATGTTTAGACACATCTTTTTTGGTGTTTTAGGCATTGGGTTACTATGCATACTAATGTTTAATGTTTTAAACAAATAAATGCTAGACACCATACTAGAAAGGGATACAAAGAAAAAAGGGGGAAAACAAATATGGAAAATTTATCAAACTTATCCCACCCTTGAGGGTTCTAACACACTAATAAGTTTAGCTACCAGGTCTTAATTTTATATTAATTATCCTAACATATCTCCCCACCTGTTGGGTGGTTTCAGAGTTTGTATTCCTTTACTGTTACTGTCTCATTCAGTTTGAAGATCTCTTTACCCATTGCCACTAGGGATGGCTTGTATGTGTATGCCATGGTCTCTGTATTTTTAGTTAAGTAATTTTATTTACACAAATGGCTCCTTCTATCTCATTTTGTTGACTTTTAATAATAGATATTTGTATTTTATTAACTTCGTAATAATCATAAATAATAGTAACAACAGTATCACTGTTAATAGAATGAAATACAAAAGGAATAATAAATAAATCTTGAAAGTTCAGGAAATGGAGAAATTAGGTGAGATCACATGAGCCTACTGACTCACTCCTAGGTGGCTGAGCACTTTTGGAGCCATCTATATAGAAACAAGAGTTCATAAAACAAACCTAGTGGGTAGTTAATTTACCAGGTTGCAATGGGTTAAGTAGGTTTGTTTATCATATTTTGCTATCGTTTTATAAGCCTCTTACATATCTGTAAGATGAGTTTATATTATACTCCAATTTTTCACGTTTCTTGACTTAATGTAATCATGTGATATATATATATATATATATATGTGTGTGTGTGTGTGTGTGTGCTATATTTTTATAGGATGCATGTGTGCGCACTTATTCCATATACATTACCTTGTTTGTATATCTTTTGACTAGATAATTCTTATGTTGTTGTGTATTTTCAGAGTATAGATTGGGAACGACACTCAAAAGAATGCTGCTGCAATGTGCAAGTTTAGGATAAGTATTGGTGGAACCTACAGGTTATGTGTCACTGCTGGTACAGTTAGAGAAAGGCTTTCCTAGTTGCAGGCAAATATTTTCTTAAAGTACTTTTTAATTAAGGGTATGACATTAGAGGGAATGATCATTGATCATTTGATGCACTTGGCAAAGCACTTTGCTTCTGAATGTTCTTTCTTTTCTCTTTTTTTCCTTCTTTTTCTTTCTTTCCTTCTTTTTATTTTTATTTTCCTTTTAAAAAGTATCTACTGTTACAGCAGGTATTCATATTAACAGATTTGATAAAGATCCATATTTTTTTGTATACTACTTTTTAAAATTATATCAATACTTTGTGTGTTGTCAAATGCACAGAACCTGCACACATGCGTGCACACACACATATATAAATATATGCATGTACACACATACACACACTCATACATATACATACACACACGTACACACACAATTACACAACCATACAGACACGTACACATACTCACACGATTACACACCTATACATGCACCCATACACACACAATTACACACCCATACACACACACGAACACACAATTACACACCCATACAGACACTCACGCACACATACTCACACGATTACACACCTATACATGCACCCATACACACACAATTACACAATTTTGCACACATACACAAAGACACACCAGTTTATAAACATTATCTATAAGTGTCTTAACAGAGGAAATTGTTGATATTTTAAAATGTTGATATTGTGCAAATGATAAGATGCCAGGAAAAAGGAATATCTTTATAATGTGTAAAAAGTATGTGACTAAGGTCACAGTTGTGTATATGAATATTTTTTATTGAAGGATTGCTTTAGGTATTCTAAAGAACTATTGTTATGTATAAGTACATATTGTACTCTGTTTACATATTCACTGTATAGCAATGGCAGTGCCAGTTTGTACTTTTGATAAAAGTTACAAGTATTTTTAGCTTGCATAAGATTCATATTTTTCTGACTTCCTTTCCTTTTGAAAATAAATTTACTTTATTCATATACATGTAGACTTTTTTCATTTTCCCATTTCATTAAAAATCTTAGTTATAATAAACTATATACATATACCTGACTTTAAAAAGTTGTATAAAAGGTAGGTCTATAGTTTCACATCATTTAACAAAATATGTTGCAATAGGATTTGCTTTACCAAACCCATTTATAAAAATATTAATAATAAAATAATAATGCAGTTCAAAATGTTTATTTCTCATTATCTATTCCAACCTTTGACTTGGTGTTAATAAAAAATATTTTGCTTAACCCTACACTGACGATGCCAGAATTTTCTGTGTGGCATAATTTCCGGGACTACTGTTAACTGTCAAATCTTATCGCCTGGGCGTTCGTTGTGTACAGCCAGCCCTTCCCACTCACTAATTAGAGTGAGTCATGACGCATATAAACATGCTCATCATGAAGGGTAGGCTTTCCATGACGACTATAGCTATGCCCCCCATCAGCAGAGTATTAAATTAATCTTCATAAGGTTCACAAAGCTCTTACAAAATTTTACATGTCTAGACCAAGACCAAGCCCAATGCTTGAGGATCTCCCCTACCCTGGGCCTCAGACCTGAACTCAACTAATTTTGCATGGTCTTTTCTTATTCCCCTTTCATTTTTCCTATCTTTCCCAGCTCTTCTCCAGGTATTGAAAGGATGAAAGACATTTTGTGCCAGTCATGAATGGTTACAGGGAGCCATGGGCACAGTATTCCTTTGGTTAATTATCCAGCTCTTATCCCTCATGGGGACCCGGAGGGATGGACTTTTTATCTCCTATATGAATCTTACCAGGACCAGTAATGGAGATTTTGTACTCTTATTAGGGGCACTGAGGCTTGCCCCTTTATCAGCTAGCTTCCCTGAATCTAACTCCTCTGATTCAGTGATCCCTGACTCTCCTTTGATCACGGCTTCAACCACTACTACTCACCCCCTTCCTCAATACTTGATGTCAACTTAACCTATCCCAAATCATCTACCTTCAAAAGCCACTCCTTCCTTATTCCCAATATTCTTCACCCCATCTGAACAATCATCTTCATTTTCTACCTCCTCCTCCCATATTAAGGGGAAGAGTCATTGGTACGATCACGAAATTCGTTTTCCTGTCCTCCTTGCTTTAGTTTTTTAGCTAGGCCATTAATTATTTTACACAATGTGCATGGATATGTGATGCTTGAGCACAAGAAATTTTACTTTAAAAAGCTGCATAAATGTTTGCATTAAAAAAAAAAAAAAAAAAAGTACAAGATGATAGAATTCGCAAATTATGTAATAGTTTCCTTATAGCGAATAGTACTGCAGTTTCCTTCTGACTAGAGTTAGTCAACAAATAGGAGTACCAATTGTAGCATTTATGTAAATCTATCTGAAACGACAATGTTTCAGTTACCTTGCCAAAAAGCGCTTTTGTGTGTGTGTCCGTGTGTCCAAAAATTCATCATTAATTTTTTCAGTAAAAAATGTACTTGGAGGAAATAATGTGTGACTTAGCTACAGTTAGTAGATACAAACTGGACGACCATTTTGCAACAAGAATTGTTAAAATCGCGTAATTACATACAAAGTTAACCTTACTATCATGTGTGAAAATATGATTTTGAGAAAATATCAGTTTTCGTCATTCATCTTCATTACACCATAAAGGTCATACCAATGATTACCAAATGTGAATATCTAATTAGACAATTCCTTAGCCTTTAATATGAGTCCTGTGGTAGAGGGTCAGGCCTTGTTCAGGTAATTTTAGGTCATCTTTATGTAAAGGTTAGGTTAGGTTAGGTTAGATGGGAGTGTTCTCTGAAAAGTATACTTTCAGATGTCAAGGCTCCAGGTTCCCTGTCATTTACATATACTACATCATAAACCATATATTACACATTTCTTATATATAAATGACATATTGCCAGGTTTTCAACAGGTTGAAAACAAAACGTGTACTCCGGACAACTTTATCAATCGCACTGTTCTCCCGTCCTTGCTGCTGCTGCCTGCCTACTGAACGTAGCCTAAACTATCGTACAGTAGTATCATACCAAAGAAATTTGCAAAAAAAGGCCAAAAAACACTGAAAATACAAGAAAAACAAAGCATGAAGCAAAAAGGGGTGTGGCAGCATGAGGGCATTTAAATACTCCAGACATTTAAACCGCGGAAAGGAGCGCGTTATGCATCTGGCAACCGGCACCTGGGGTGCGTCACATGCTCATGTTTCCACACACAAAGTTTGAAAAAATTGTAATTTGTGACCCGTACCGACGACTCTTCACCTTAAACTCTTCAACTTCAGCGCTCTCCCCAGAGAATTATCTCACTCCATACCACTCCCTCTCCCTCCTGTCTTGCCCCTCTATAATACCAACCTCTACAAACCTTTTAAGTACTCTGTTTAGCCCTGCCAAGTGGGATCAATTTTTTGTGAATCTCTCAACAGTGCCTTATGCTAACAATACCTCCAAATCAAGTAAGCAAAGTTTCTTTTCACAGCTGTTCCGACCACTCACACCTTGTCACGGTTACATCCGAGTCCCAAGCCGATGCACTATCTATCCTTTTTAACCTCACTTATAAATCTATTTTTGCCCAACCTCTCTTCCTGTAATACTTATACTGGAATTTCTTCCATCTCCCCAGCTGATTCCCCTGTCTATGATAAGGATTGGTCAGACTGTAAAGACAACCTACTTGCCTGCCTTGTTGTTAACAAAGCAGTAGCAGTACTGTGCAACACTATTTTCATTTACTGAAAATTTTCTGCCATGTCAACATCTGGGGTCAGTAGTAGCACACACAAAAAAATAGCAATAAGGTGAGGCTTGGGGCAAAGCCCCGGGTAAGGCAGGATCATAGAGTATTATGAGAGTCTTGTGGCCAAAAGGTTAAACATGAGTTAACGATTAAGACAAAATATGTTATATGTCAAAGGTTGTGGAGCAATGTAGGTTAGTATGGTACTGAAAAGGGCAAAGAAGAAATAGCAAACAGAGTACAAAGGCCGTTCATGACTGACACAAAACCAGGTAACAAAACCAATTTTAAGATGTGGACAGAAAAGGGGGATAAAAAAAGAGATCATGCAAAATTAGTTGAGGCGATGGCTGAGGTCCAAAGGTAAGGGGTGATCCATAACATTGAGTCTCAGTCTCCATCTCCTAAGCTCCCCTACAGCAATAACAGGCAGGGGATTGAGGGGATAGCACTATTCCAACCAGAGGCTGTAGTGAGTCCCACTTCAGTATCGCCAAGATTACCTTCAACAGACATGACCTTCCCATAAGGTCTCTATAGGAGGAGAACCTTGCCTTGTCAGACCATATAAACCCCTACCCCATCAATATCAGAAATGTTGGCATTTTGAGCACTATATAAAGCACTGTCGCTCCACAACCTGCTGCCCTCTATATGCCCAACCAGGTCATGACTATTCAAACTGCCATGCACAATCATGTATATGTCCCAATGAAGTGGCTCCCAAAATACATTTTATAGGGGCTCCCTTGCTAACAAGTTTTGACTCTTGTACATTTCTTAGATACAAACTTGGCCTTACTATGAGAGGCCAGATATGAAGAACACTGAAAAAGTTTTTTATCCCTTCCTATTCCAATACATATCACCTCTCCTCTCTACCCCAGTTGTCTCTACATCCCCAGTACTACTTCCCCTATCAAATAGTCAAATCCTTTTTCCATTTCCATTTCCATTTCCAAATCCTAGTCAAATCTGTTTTCATTCTAAATGCAGATACTCGATTATCCACAAATCCTCCCCCTATGTCTGGTTCCTAATCCTCACCTTGCCCATTGCACCAGACACTAAATGAGATGTGGAGGATACTGGGAATCAGGATGGGGTGTCTTTTGAGTTATAACCTGAGTAGACGATTCAGAATGGGTCAAGTTGACAGCACACGAGGAGTGGTGTGTATTCATTAAATCATTCCTTTCCAAGCATACCAAGTTAAATTTGCCTCTTCAACTTCATAATTTCCACAATTTGAAGGTCTCTCACATGGAATGTACTTAGCACTATATTATTCCTTCTAGCTTCTCTTTATATGATACTCCCCCCCTACTTCCCTAACAAATTCCTTGGATTCATTTTTGACTCCAAACTTTCCAGGTGGGACCACATCTTCTATATCTAAGAGAAAACCTGCCATCATCTTTGCTCCTACAGACTCTCATATATCCTGGGGTTTAGACCACAAAACTCCATCTTCATATTCAACTGATCCTCTCCTCACTTGACTATGGCTGCCATATCTGTTACTCTGCCTCTGCCTCTACCTCTACCTCTCTTCTTACCTTGATACTATCCATCATTATGGTCTACATTTAGACCTGGGCACCTTTCACTCCTCTCCTGTTGAGAGCCCATACGTTGACTCAGGCCTACCTTGCCTTTCTCTCTTTCAGGAGCTATGTACATTTTCATCAATTTTCTCTC